AGTGTGTTACTGGGTCTGGCTGACTAGTGCAGACTTGGCCCTTCCAATTTGTTGCGGTCCAGGGAATATTTAATTGAACACTAATTTCCCAGAAGTTGATACTCCCTCCTTGCGTAGAGGATTTTAAAGACCAGGATTGTACTTGGTTATCTTCCTTGAGATCTGATGGGGGAGCATTTTTTACCAACCAGCTATGACCAAAAGCACCTCTGTATTCACACCCTACATGGCTATTGTAATAATCTTTGTGCAAAATATGCCTTGTGAGGTATCATTTGAAAACTAATAACTCACTGGTCAATAGTATCATAGTGAAATGTATGTAGCAACATTATATGTAATGGTTTTTTTTTTTTACATTAGTTGTCCCCTGTAATCATTTGGGTTTTAGGTCCTGTGGGTCCTCCCCTTAGGCTGGGGCGGGGATCCTTTAGCAGTGGGCAGGCTTCACCCGCCCACTTCCCAGAACCCAACAGGAAAAAAAAAAAAATTGTATGTAATACTATGAAATCCCCCAGTATGATGTTATTAGCATATATCTAAAACCACACAGCCCTGCCTATGCAGAATCTGTTAAACGGGTCTATCCTAAAACAAAGGAGTGTTTGTTTACCCCAGTTTAAATATAAGTAGTAAACCAGGTCCTCAGACAGCAGAGGGAGGAGATGGCAGGAGAGACAGCAAACACAGGTGGGGAAGAAAAGGCATGGTGCCTTCCCTTCACCACCAGACTCCACGTCAACTTCTTTACTGCTTGAATAAACCCAACTTTGAATGGTAAACCCCCAAGGTTCACTGGACTATAAAAGAAAGGGGCAGAACCCTGAGTTTTCTCTTTCACTTAAGAAGACAACGGCACCAGCACCTTGGGGTCTCTGGGAGAGGTCCTGACCAAGGAAAGGGTCAGTCACCATCTTGCAGGAACACTGTGGGTGAGAAAGGTCATCTTAAACAGAGCCTTGAACCAGAACTTGCTCGATTAAGTTTTAGACTTTTAGATGCATTTTCACTTTTATCTGCTTGTAACCATTTCTACCTTTCTCTGATATGTGATTTCACTTAAAATCCAATCTTCTTTGGTAATAAACTTGTTTTATTTTTAATCTAAACCAATCCAGAGCTGTGTTTAAACTGAACTGTTTTAACTCCAGTTAAAGTAGCAAACTTGAATAGTGACTCCATACAGGGGCAACAGATCTTAATATCTGAACTGTCCAGGAGAGGGCTGGGCTGTGTAGAACACATGTTTTTGAGAAAACTCGGTACTGTGTTGGGGTCCCTCTACCAATAGTAACCAAGGCTGCTTGGCTAGTGTTGCTGACAGGCTGCTGGGGTCAGAGATGCTGGACCAAGGCGGCAGCTATACAGACACTCAGGGTCTGACCTGCATGCGTTTTGGCTGGTTGTGAGTGGCCCAGGTTGGGAGCTACAGCAGCAAAGCTTTCTGAGGCACCCAAGTTTGTGAGGCAGATGGTGACACACCCCCTCGCTGGTCTGGATTGCACCCCAGAATCTGACACCCGCATCCAGTTTTGCCCTGGTCATCAACTGTTTTATCCCGTGGTGGCACAGAGAGATTTCAGGCAACAGCATTTTCACTGCAGAGGTTCAGGTGCAATATGTATCATATTGAAAAAAAATAGGTCAGTGACTTCAAGCCTTCTCTTCCACTGGCGGCTTTTATTCCTGTGAACTTTCCAACTCTTATTACGGAGCAAAGCCTCGTAGTTCCATGCTGCATGTAAAAACAACTATCCTTGTCTCCATTCTACAGATAAGGTAACTAAACAGTTGCTCTCAGCCATCACTGTTAGAGCTAGGAACAGAACCCAGATCTGTGATAGGGGAGACCAGAGCTCATCCACATTGCCTTTTGTACTGACTGTGCTAAAGCTGTCTGTGTGGCTAGCCTATGTGTAACCATTGTTTTAGCCCCCAATAAATATTTCCATCCCAGAGCCAGGAATAGAACCCAGGAATCCTGCGTCCCAACATTCTACTCCTGTCTAGCCAATAGCTGTATAACTCATTGCAAAAATGTGTTAGGCTCCTGATGCCAAAGGGCTGAACGGTGGCTCTGGAAGGCCCATGTTTAATCCTTGATATTGACCTATGGCGGGAGAAAGTGCGCACCACTGTTCCACATGATGAAATTTCTGTTTACCAGTTTAGTTAAGGCTGCAGCTCCATTTCTGTTTAAAACCAAAATTTTGCATCTTCTCTTAAAATCTACCAGAAGGTCAGATTGGCCTGAAAATTGGCTGCTCGGCAGCCTGATGCACAGACTTCTCAGCTCTGCTGAATTTTGTGGGATGTTCCACATTTTTGCGGATTCAGGCTTCCTGTCACCCTGGACCACAGAGGTAGGCAATGTTCTACAGATGAGAAAGAGAGCACCACCCACTCAATGGATAAATAGGATGACCTGGATAATTATAGGTTTGGCAGCTGACAGTGATGCCAGCAAAATAATGGAATGACTGATATGGAACTTCATTAATTAAAGGAGGGCAATATAATTAATGCTAATCAACATGGGTTTATGGAAAATAGATCCTGGCACACTAACTTGATAGCTTTTTATGATGAGATTACTAGTTTGGTTGATAAAAGTCATAGTATTGATGTAATATATATAGTCTTCTCTAAAGCATTTGACTTGGTATGGCACAACATTTTGATTAAGAAACTGGAAAGATACAAAATCAACACGGTACATGTTTAAAATAACTGGTTAACTGAAAAATACTAGCTAGACATTTACAGTCAACGTTCTCAGCTTACATAAATCAGGATCAAACTGGATTCATTAAGGATAAACAAATGGAAGACACTATTCAGATAGTACTTAAAATCATCCCCAGCCCTACGTTTCTATGGTTCTATAATGCCAGATTTAAAAAAAAATAACTCAATTTCTCATTGTCGCTAGATGAAGTGAAAGCCTTTGAGGGGAGCTTTCTGTTTCATGTCCTGTCCCATGCAGACTTTAGCCTCAAGTTCATTAACTAGATATCTACTCTTTACACTAGTCCAAAAGCCACTGTGCCAGTTAATGGGGTGAACTCTCCCCTTTTGAATTACACAGAGGGACTAGGCAGGGATATCCCTTGTTTCCTTTACTTTTTCACTGGCCGTGGAGCCTTTTGCACAGAGGATAAGGAACAATGGATTCGTAACAGGACCAGAACTTTCAGGAACAAATCAGAAAATGGCATTGTATGCACATGATGTAATATTTTTTATCTAAACCAAATATTTCCCTAAAATTAGTTTCCAAAAGAATCTAGGATTTTGGGAAAGCGTCTGGGTTTAAAGTAAATTGTGTCAAATCTGAAATGCTAACTATAAAATTTCCAGACACTAAAAAGTCACTCCCCCAAGAAACATTTGGGTACAAATGGGCAACAAATTCTAGAAGATACTTGGGAATTCAAATTTCAACCTAGAGGAGCTCTATGATTTAAATGTCAAACCTCTACTTCAGCTAATGAAAAAAGATCTGAGGGGCTAGGGGAAGTATGCAAGTTTTTGGTTGGGAAGAGTAGCCCCAGTCAAACTGAATATTCTGCCAAGATATCTTTATAGTTTTAAAATCTTTCTTTGATTGTTCCAGATAAAACACTAGCAGGAATACAGAGGATGTAATTAGAATTCATATAGAATAAAAAAAGAGAGTGAGGATAGTTTATACAGAACCATTACACAGGGTGGAATGGCTGTTCCAAATAATCTATGGTACTATTAAGACAGCCAGTTCAAAGCAGTAGTGAATTGGGGGTGCTCTAACCCCACCAACACTGGGTTTTTATTGAATAAAAAAATTGCAGTAGTGTAAACATCGCTAGCTACCATGGATTAATTAAAAAAAAAAATCACACCCTCCAGAAATTTACACACATCCTTTAGTGAAGGCTACTCTATGGGCTTGGGATAGCAGTAGAGATAAGCTAAACTCTTTTTCCTCACCAATGACACCCATTGCAAATAATCCAGAACTTTATCCAAATTGCAAACTAGAGAGCTTCAAAGACTGGGAGAGCCAAGGAATACACACAGTTGACCAGCTATTCAGTAAAGAAACTTCTAACTTATCTAAGGATCAAAATTAATGTTAACGGGCCCACTTTCCCCTGGTACCAATACTTTCAAGTCAGGCATTGTGTTTCTCAACTTTCTAGACAACCTGTTTTATACAGAAAGCTAATTTTAATAGAAGGAATGGCATCCTGTCAATTAGGAAGCAAAAAAATTATAACATCAATTGTTGCAGACAGCTTTCCTAACAAATAAGTGTCCCTGTATGACACACCAGGAAGAGGATATGGATAGCCAATTTACCCCAGAGGTATGTGATTTGATGCGGAAAGAGGACCAGAAACCTCAGTGTCTAGCACAATAAAATAAAATTTCCTTAAGATGCTGTTTCAATGGTAGCTCACATCAGTCAGATGGAAAAAAAAAAAAAAGATTGAATGGGGATAAATGTTGAAGAAATTGTGGTGAAAGAGGAGTTATGCTTATATGGTGGCCATGTCTGGTCATTCGAGGGTATTGGGATGCAAGCTGTAACCAAATGTCACAAATTGCTGGATATTTATTACCAAATGATCCCTTGGTAATCCTCCTGGGGCTTCCTCGTGGAAAGGGTCACACAAAAGGAAATTAATTAATCTCTCTTCTGCTAATAGCTCTCAGCTGTTGTTAGTGTCTCACTGGAAAAAGAATAGCCCAACCATAGAGAACTTTTTTTAAAAAAAAAAAAAAAAAAGGGAAATTGTGGTTATGGAAAAATTAACACACGAATTACCCAGCAAAATAAACAGATAATTAGATATTTGGTTACCTTTTATTCAATACTCAAAAGTACATTCACCCGCCAAAAAAAAAAAAAAAAAGGACACCTGTCCAAGAATCCAGCCTGAAATATTCTAACTGAACAACACTGCACAGACATTTAACAAAAAGGCTTTATTTACACTGGAATTATTTTTTTTTTTAAGTTGTACATCCTGAATATCAGAAACTTCTGTAGAAGTGCCAGCAGCACAGATATGGCCTGCAGGAAAAGTCTGGGGCAGCTGCAGTGATGGGTAACGAGGGACCAGTGACTACCTGGAAGTGGGAGGAGAAAGGAGATCAGTAACAGTAACAGCCACGTCAGTCAGAGGAGCCTGTGCACTAACTGATCCCCAAGAAGAACAGCTGAAGGGATGGAACAAACAGCTATGAAATTCGGCACTCGTGCTCTGGGTTACATTGCTGTGCAGTGGGACTCAGCTGAGCCACAGTCTCTGTAGCTGTATGTCAGCTAGTCCCTGTCAGGGACATGGGAATGCCACAATTCTGTGGCCATGGACTCTGCAGCAGAATCTCAGCTTTCATTTAAAAATTATGCTCCCAGCCACCACAACTGCAAAAGAAGCTTTGAAAACTGTGAGCAGAGTGTAAACACCTGCCCAAGTCTGTAAGCAACTTAACGCCCGCCTCTGAGTGAAGTGTGCTCCACGCATCAGCCCAGTGGGGAAGCTGAAACCTCAAGATGGCAATTTCAACGTCAACATTATTAACGATTTCACTGTTCATCATCTTAGCACAACTACCCAGGTAACAGGAACTGCGAACTGGGGAGAGGAAGCAGCACAGAATGGTGATATTACTTACCTACCACAGCTGGAGACTTCATTTATTGAGGGCCCAATCCTGTAAAGCACTGAATGCCTTCTCTAAGGGGCTGAGGGCACTCAGCACCTTCCAGGATCGGGTCCTAAATGTCTGCAAAGCACTGTGGATCTAAACCCTTGCTTGTGGCAGGGAAGGTTGTCTCTATGCAGGTATTTTGGGAATGATTTGGGCTTAGCTTGTTTTCAGAAAGCAGTTCTGTTCATCTTGCAGATGATATGAGTGGAGAGGAATCGTGTGCAGTGCCTCCATGCCACTATCTGCTTGTTAAAATCTGAAAGTCGGTGGCTAAAAGGCTAACAAAAACAGATGTTTGGCAAATTCATTTTAAAATCAAGTTGCAGATTGACATGCTGTAATCTGCGCACACGTGTTGAAATGCTTTTTGTCTGGGATGAAGTAGCTGGATGAGTGGGGAAGACAGCACTATACTTTAATACAAGGTCTCTGGCGCTGTCTATGACCTTAAGTACCAACGACTATGTGAGCAAGCCAAGGTGGCCAGGAGCATAGTAAGTGCTAGAAACATCTGACCATGGATCAGGAGAATGGTACCTTCTGTAGTCAGAAGAGAGGATGTACCACGTGTCAGCAACCTGACTTTCAGGAGCTGACAAGACCCCTCCCCATGCTGACAGCAAGTGCTTCAACTTCACGACACAGGCCCCAAGAGGGACGATGCCAAAGCTGCCTTGAATTAGGAAATACAGAATCCTCTATTCTTCAGCAGTTACTTTCTTGGGCTTTTAGGTTTACTTGCATCTCCCACAAAATATGAAACTCTTCACTCTTTGCAAGCTGGCAGAACCGCACATTGTGAACTTCAAGGCAGTGACAGATGGATTCAATCACAATCACCTCTTATCAGATAGTTTCTCAGCCAAACTGATGAAGACTGACAGACCTACCGAGATTTCTGCATTCATTGCTCTACATTTCACCACACTGCGAGATGACCACTGGCAGTTTGGGTTTGTTATTTGGACCAGTAGGTACATTCTGGGGGGACAAAAAATCCACACAGTTACAAGGTATAAATACACAGCAAGTTAGTGGGAGTCACAAGCTATTTTGAGAGGCTGGATAAGAGACTCATGCTAACTGAGCCTCACGAATACGGAGGAACTGCACTTGGACTATGTCTGACTCATGCCTGCTGCTCTTTCATTTCCTCTTCTCTTCTGCAGCAATGTCCTTGGACCCTCACCTAGAGCCAGCTAACTGCCTCTTTACTGCAGAGCTGAGAGACATGGGAGAGACTCTGACCTCACAAATGGGGAACAAAGTGAAGGCAGCAAAGATACATGTAGCTTCCAGTGAGATGCAATATGGATCATGTCACTTGAGATATCTTTGGCTTTAGGTCTTTGATACTGTAATTAGTGTCACTTTAAAGAGAAAAGCAACCCCACATTTGTACAGAAGGGGGAGCTATTGAGTAAGGGTGCACCAGGTGCATCCTCAGAAATCACACATCATTCTGGACTTGGGCCAATGCTCTTTGTGTGTGTCACTTAATTTCTTTCTACTATGCCCATCATGGGCATCCTACAAAAGAGGTACACAGTTATCCTCCTTTTGTTTATTAAAGTACTTCTGGTGGGAAACACCGCAAGAGGAATCTCCTGGTCTCCAGCCCTGGTTATAACGACTCTAAGCTACGTGGCAGTTTTGGTCTCTTCTGTGTTGGCTACACCTCCAATTTACTGCACTCAGACAAGGTGATCAAGGAAAGTTTACACTTTCTGTATATCTAACAGAAAATTTTAACAAAAGTCACCTATACAGTGGTTTTCTTAAAACAGAGCTAGCAATAAAGGAATTGTGCTGTATGATTCCCAGCATGAGACCTTCTCGGTGAAGGTTAACATGAGGCTTTAAGTGGAGCTGTTGTCAGCTCTGTAATGTCTTTCCCCCTCTGGATTCTCTATTCCTGGCTCAGCTCTGGGATCCAATATTTGCACTCAAGCACCCAGTCAGAAAGCAGAATGCCGGGGGTGCTCTGTCTATTCAGCCATCCATCACAGTGGTACACTGACACTTTACAAGAGTGTATTAACAGGCCCTGTGTGTTTATTAGCCACACACCATTCTAAATATGGAATTCACTGGTCAACACACAGATGTGTGTATCTGCAGCACCTGGAAACCTTGTTTAATATTGATTATTAGAAGGTGTTGATTAGATTTCAACTGAAGAACTCAGGGAATTTATCATCCCCTTCACATTACCATGCAGTATCACAGAACCAATCTCCCTTACATTCCTGTTCTCAACTTGTAAATCAAACAGGTTTGCAGAAAGGACTCTATGCGCCACAACCAAACCCATCTGAACAAGCTTCCCCAGTCACTGACTGGCTCCTCCAACTGCACAGCACAATTCTCCCTGTGTCTTGCTAAGTAAATCTACATGACGGACTCCCTCACTGCAGAGGGCACAGCCCCTGCAAGGCGCTCCCTGGCACTATTGTTACATCATTATCCTGCACATGGACAGGGAGGGAACATGAAGCCCGGATTACTGCCACATGCGACTATCTGGCATGCACATTCATGAACAGGATGGGGACCTAAACTTACTTCAATTTTTCTCATGACAAGGAGCCCATCAACAATTTTACCTGTAAGGGAAAAAGAATATTTACTAGTAGCAGTTCTATACTGCACTTATTCACCTTTTCTGTAGTCCCAGATTGTCAAGTACAGATGATACTTTACTCTAATTTCTCATACCTCTGAGATTCCTTCGCTTTGGACTTGGCTACCTCTCCATGCACCATTCTTTGCCCCAGCGATGTGTCTCACCCATTTATAACTACTGGACACTGTGGGCAGGGCCGTCCCTATCTATGGTGGTGCCCTATGCAGCCGGAGCACCTGCACTCAAGGGCTGCAGGGGCAGGAGCTGTGGGGGGCAGCAGCAGGGCAGGGAGGCCCAGGGGACTAGTGGGGCGCCTGCAGCAGGAGTCCCCCCCTCTCCCCCCCCACATTCACCGGTGGCAGCGGGAAGCAGAGTGACCCGGCCTCAGCCTGCTCCACTCTCCCCAGCTTCCTGCCCTGTCGCTTGGGGGAGGGGGCTTGAAGGAAGGGGTCAGGCCCACCCCCGCACTCACAGCAGTGGCGGCTGGGAGCTGGCAGAGCGGGCTGGAGCCGGGTCGCTCTACTTCCCGCCACTGCCGCGTATGGGCCCGACCCTTTCTGCCGGCTCCAGTACCCCCGCTAATCCCACGGGCCGCGTTGCTTGGGGGAAGGGGTGGAATGGAGGTGGGGTGGGGGCGGAGCAGGGGGGCTGGGGCTGGCCGCTGGAGCCAGTGCCGTATACGCAGCATGCAGCTGCCTAGGGCACCACGAAATTTGATGCCCCAAATTACGTGGTGCCCTAAACAGCTGCGTATTCTGCATATGCCTAAGGATGGCCCTGCCTGTGGGGTTGTTATAGATCTGATAAAGGGTTCATAAATAATACAACTACAACCTTCCCAGACATGGGGCTGGTGTCTATATCTTCAGGACAGGCAATGTGCATCTTCCCAGCAGGTAGGGCGTGCACGGAAATCAGACTGAGACTCTGGTGTATTATTAGAAATAATCCCACTGATGGAGATGCAGTTTGTGTTGTTTGTGAACTGCAAAAATGGCTATTATCAAATATTTATATTGCATAGTGCCCTGAGGACCCAATAAGGAGCCAATATTAGACATTAGTTCAGTAATAAGAGGAGACAGACCCGCCCGTAAGATCTTACAGTCTAGGACACAACGTGTGCTTTTGTAAAATTACGGTATGCAAACTCTAGTGTCACTGCTATTTCACCACGCCACATAAAATAAGCATCAGTTCTCCCCATCTTTCCCTCAAACAAGCCGTCATTAGCTGGCTGATTTATTACTGCTTTCACAATAGCAGTAGGTTTCGAGGCACATTTCCATAGAAGCTCTTACTCCACTTGTGTAAGATTAATGGGAAACGACAACAAAAACCATGTGGTTGAACCGGAAGGGGTAAATGATCAGGATATCACACTGTGCTGCAGCTACTCACCAAACACAACATGCTTCCCATCCAGCCAGTCACATTTGGAGCACGTGATGAAGAACTGACACCCGTTTGTACTTGGACCACTGTTGGCCTGATTGAAAATGCAAAAACAAAACACAAAAAAGTTAGGGAATAGAACATCTCAAGCCAGAGGCGCCTGAAATGAGAGTGAGCTGTCACTCCTGGACTAGATTCTAAAGTTAATATTGGCTCCACAATATGTAGAGCAAAGAAAAAAGCAAGAAGTGCCATGTGCTATGATGGGGACTGTGGCCTCAGAGCCCTTGCTGAGCAATAACAGATCATCTGAATCTGATCTGTGGATAGTTCTCTGAAAACATCCACTCAATGTGCAGTGGCAGTCAAAAAAGCAAACAGAATGTTGGGAATCATTAAGAAAGGGAGAGATAATAAGACAGAAAATATCATATTGCCTCTGTATAAATCCATGATACGCCCACATCTTGAATACTGCGTGCAGATGTGGTCGCCCCATCTCAAAAAAGATATACTGGACTTGGAAAAGGTTCAGAAAAGGGCAACAAAAATGATTAGGGGTATGGAACGGCTGCCGTATGAGGAGCGATTAATAAGACTGAGACCTTTCAGCTTGGAAAAGAGACAACTAAGGGGGGATATTATAAAGGTCTATAAAATCATGACTGGTGTGGAGAAAGTAAATAAGGAAATGTTATTTACTCCTTCTCATAACACAAGAACTAGGGGCCACCAAATGAAATTAATAGGCAGCAGGTTTAAAACAAACAAAAGGAAGTATTTTTTCACATAACGCACAGTCAACCTGTGGAACTCCTTGCCAGAGGATGTAGTGAAGGCCAAGCTATAACAGGGTTTAAGAAAGAACTAGATAAATTCATGGAGGATAGGTCCATCAATGGCTATTAGCCAATATGGACAGAGATGGTGTCCCTAGCCTGTTTGCCAGAAGCTGGGAATGGGTGACAGGGGATGGATCACTTGATGATTCCCTGTTCTGTTCATTCCTTCTGGGGCACCTGGCATTGGCCACTGTCGGAAGACAGGAGACTGGGCTAGATGGATCTTTGGTCTGACCCAGTATGGCCATTCTTATGTTATTTGTGAGTGTGTGCAGCCAGCTGGCTCTCAGAGATTTTTCTGTGGCTCTGTAAGAGCTTTGGGGCCAGCATAATACTGTGTGGAGATCCATAACATCACACTGTGCTCTTGGGGGAAGGGTATGTCCTTTGTATTGATGACACTTACTGCATCATAGAAATTGTCACAGGTGAAGCTGAAAATTTAGGGATCTGTGTAGGGGAAAGTTATGGCTTTCTGCAGTTAGGAAGGGCGTTTAGGATTATAGGATAAACAGGTTAGCTGGATGTCTCTGCTAAAATGATCAGCAGTGAAACAGTTAATGATGAAATTTATGTAGCCCTCTACAGGTTTCAGAGTTAACAAGGCTCTGCAAGGTGTGGTGCAGTTCACACCTCTCAAAGCTGTCATTTCAGGCTGTCTCAGGAAGACATCACTGCATCAATTATACTCGGTTCATGTTTTCGAGGTTCTCTTTGCAGCCAGGCGGTGGCCCAGAAACAGGTTACTTAAATTAACACTGAGAAAGGAGAATTCTGCAACAAATTCTCCAGATTCAGAATCACAGACTATCTGGGGTTCTGCCCAGTCATGTTCCAGCACAACTGTCTATTATGGGGATACCATCCTCTGAAATAGCTAGTTAGTGACAACATACTGCACTAGATAAACCATTCGTCTGGTCCAGCATGGCATTTTGTATGTTCCAACCTACATACCTCATGTGGCTGTGTTTCTATAAAATGAAGCCTGGAGCATATATTATACAAGATTCAAACACTATTTCTATAGCTATTCAATTCCCCGACTCAACATTAGTTGGGGTGGTGTTTAATAACAATTAGCAGTTAGAGAAGAAAGACTTACTGGAGTGAAAAATATGTAAGACCAAATAATTCTACAAGCAGAGCAAATTAAACCTACCCCAACAATTCTAATAGATAAGGGTAAATTACTGACTGGACTGCTACCTTGAGTCATGTTCATTAGCACCTTACGCCATTATGGTTCCACTGAAGTCAATGGGAGCTACTTACAGAGTAAAATACTGCTCAACATGACAGAGTAGTAGAATCCGGCCCTAAATGAGGATTTTTCAGACGTTCTATGCAAGGTAGGAGACTTCTGCGAGCCAGGAGATAAGCTAAGAATCTCCACAAAGGAGCACAGAGCCATTTTAGTCCTACTACTTTGTCTTCTTATACTTACCATAGACAACAGCCCAGGAGCAGAATGTCTGAGTTTGAAGTTTTCATCTGCAAAGGGACCCCGGTATATACTAGCTACTCCAGTACCATCTCCCTGTATAAAGAGGAAGGCAGGTGTTCAAATCCCACCTCAATAAAAGTGCATTCTGTAGCATATATTTAAAATTCCCAGACAAACCGCTTTGTTAAATCAGTTTCAATTCAGAACATATTTCCATTTGAAAACGAGTGTTAACAAGAATGTTAGAATTGAAAACTTCTGAACATTTTAGAGTAAGGAAACTAGGAGTCAATGTTCTAAAAGTAACTATGATTCAGCCCTTGCTACCTCGCCCGCCTTCCTCATACTAGCCAGAGACTTGCTCCCATTGCCACATGAAACTACAGGAGAGCAACGACAGACAGTGTCAAGTGGGGGGTGGAGTCTAGGTCTCAGAGCCAGGAAACAAGAGGTTATGGATGGTAGCGAGTGGATCATTTTAGGGCTTGTCTACACTTACATTTTAGAGCGCTCTAATTTGCTGGCTCAGGGATGTGAAAAATCACCCCCCTGGGCGCAGCAAGTCAGAGCGCTTTAAAGCACTAGTGTAAATAGGCTCCGAGCGCCAGCGCTGGGAGCTAATCCCCTCGTGGAGGTGGATTACCAGAAGCGCTGGGAGAGCTCTCTCCCAGCACTCACCCACGACCACACTTGCACTTCAAAGCGCTGCCACAGGAGCATTCCCCCGACAGCGCTTTGAAGTTTCCAGTGTAGCCATGCCCTTAGGCACAGCAGACATTCTGGAGGAAACAGAAGGGAGGAGAGAAGGGAAGGCGTGGGTGGGAAGTTTAAAAGGGTCACAGGTGACAAATGAGGCAGAGATGGTGATAATGAAGGGTAAGCATGGTGGAAAGGTGGGGTTGGAGGAAGGCTCAGGGGTGAGGGCTAGCCTCCGCTGTTTTAAGTACAAAGAAGTGATCCCCTCAACTGGCTTTTCCAGTGGATGGCTGTCTGTGAGGCCTCAGATGAGGCGCTTATGGGAAGCAGATATTATAATTTTGCTGAAGTTCCAGCCATGCTGAGGCAGCTTTTACTCACCCCAACTGCCAGCATTCAGGCCTCAAAACAATTTATAAATTATACCAGCACAGTATGTCACTTCTGCAAATTAGAAGCTTGGACTGTTACAAAGGCATTTAGAACTTCTATGTAGGGTTGTGGATTAATCGCAGTTAACTCACGCGATTAACTCAAAAAAATTAATCGATTAATTGTACTGTTAAACAATAGAATACCAATTGAAATTTATTAAATATTTTTGGATTTTTGTATGGCACTGTAAAAATGATAAAAAATATTATTGTTCGATTCACCTTATACAAGTACTGAAGTGCAATCTCTTTATCATGAAACTACAACTTACAAATGTAGATTTTTTTTGTTACATAACTGCACTCAAAAACAAAATAATGTAAAACTTTACAGCCTACAAGTCCACCCAGTCCTACTTCTTGTTCAGCCAATCACTAAGACAAACAAGTTTGTTTACATTTACAGGAGATAATGCTGTAGGCTTATTTTCAATATGACCTGAAAGTGAGAACAGGCATTCGCATGGCACCCTTGTAGCTGGCATTGCAAGGTATTTACGTGCCAGATCTGCTAAATATTGCTGATGATGCTCATTTAAAAAAAAAAATAAAAAAGAAGAAGCGTTAATTAAATTTGTGACTAAACTCCTTGGGGGAGAACTGTATGTCCCCTGCTCTGTTTTACCCGCATTCTACCATATATTTCATGTTATAGCAGTCTCGGATGATGACCTAGCACATGTTCATTTTAAGAATACTTTCACTGCAGATTTGACAAAATGCAAAGAAGGTACCAATGTGAGATTTCTAAAGATAGCTACAGCATTCGACCCAAGGTTTAAGAATCTGAAGTGCCATCCAAAATCTGAGAGAGACGAGGTGTGGACGAGTTAAAAGAGCAACACTCCGATGCAGAACTACAGAACCCGAACCACCAAAAAAAAGAAAATCAACCTTCTGCTGATGGCATCTGACTCAGATAATGAAAATGAATGGGCGTTGGTCTGCACTGCTCTGGATTGTTATTGAGCAGAACCCGTCATCGGCATGGACACATGTCCCTTGGAATGGTGGTTGAAGCATGAAGGGACATATGAATGTTTAGTGCATCTGGCACGTAAATATCTTGCGATGCCAGCTACAACAGTGCCATGCGAACGCCTTTTCTGACTTTCTGGTGACATTGTAAACAAGAAGTGGGCAGCATTAGCTCCTGCAAATGTAAACAAACTTGTCTGAGCAATTGGCTGAACAAGAAGCAGGACTGAGTGGACTTGTAGGCTCTGTTTTATTTTTGAGTGCAGTTATTTTTGTACAATTCAATATTTGTAAGTTCAACTTGTATGATAAAGATATTGCACTACAGTACTTGTACTGGGTGAATTGAAAAATACTATTTCTTTTGTTTTTACAGTGCAAATATTTGTAGTAAAAAATAATATAAAGTGAGCACTGTACACTTTGTATTCTGTGTTGTAACTGAAATCAATATATTTGAAAATGTAGAAAATATCCAAAAATATTTAAATAAATGGTATTCTTGTATTGTTTAATACCACACGATTAATTTTTTTAACCGCATGATTAATTTTTTTTTAACCACTTGACAGCCCGACTTCCATGATGTCTACCAGGTGATTCCTACAAGTATTATTACTTGGGAGTGCAGGAGTGCCACTGCTTCCTCACAACCCTCCAGATCCAGAACTGTGCAGGGGAGACACCCTCTGGGGGCACTAGGGCTCCTGTGGCATACCCCTTGCCTTCAGACATGTGGCCTTAGGGAAAGAAACAGTGAGTTAGAACAAACCTGCCGGAGGCCAAAACTGGCAGAGCAGCTGCAGAAGCAGTGTAAGTAGGGGCTTCTAGACACGGATGATGTATTTTCCCCCCCGTTTTGACAGGACATTATTTTCCCCTGTGCTGACTGGTGTTTGCCCCAGCCCCCTCCTCTCTCCCGCTCCCCTTGTCTTTCTGTTTAGCTTAGACCCTCCCTCACTAAATCACACCAAACACTTTAAGAAAAAGCACAGTGGCACTAACATGATGTTTGCCGCTATCACTGCTTATTCTGCTCTGTACATTCTACCCTGTCACTGTTAGTCTTGCCTGGTTAGACTGCAAGATCTTCAAGGGAGGGGCCGGCTACTGCTCTCAGTCTAATGCCCAGCACAACGCTCTCAGTTGGTTCCCAGCTCTACAGTAATAAACAATTTTTTTCTCTCATAATTAGTAGTAGTAATAAGTTACAAGTGTCAATGGATCTTGTAATTTTTGCTAAACTTCTACTGGAAGTTGTCAGACGTCCCTGTGGGTTTTAGAAGAGCACTCACGAGTAAAGAACCTGACTTTAAACAAACATACGTGGCTAAACCAAGCTTCCTGTGGCCAGTTTGGGAGAGCTATCATCAAGAATCAAAGCATGACCATTTTTATTTGATTTGTTTTGAACAGCCAGCTGTTTTTCATTTTGCCAACTCATAATTCCAAGTGAAAAAAATAGCAATTTTCCCAACTCCCAAATAGCTCAATGAACCTCAAACTTCAAAAAATATTCTCCTCTTATCAAAGCATGAAGCCTAGAAATTTCAAGCAGAAATTATCTTTTAATTCTGAGACAGTTCAGTAGGGGAAAAACCATCAAACTTAGTCATCCTTAGTAGAAGCTCCATTTCCTCTAAATAGAGACGTTCTCGCCACACAGCCAATTATAATTTTTCTTCACCAGTGTGAGATGCAGTTTATGAAACACTGGTTAATCTGGTAGTGCAGAAAATTACACTTTCTTTTGAAAACATGAACGTCAAATTCAACCCTCAACTGGCAGACCAAACGTTCTCCAGAAAAGATGATGGAGAACATTGGTGTTATATGGAATGAACTCTCTCATGGTCAGAGGCACCTCCAGCAGGCCACGGAAACCCCACTTTGCAGAGGACGGTCATTGCGGCAGAAGAGCCTGGCACCTCTCACCCAAAGAAAGGGAATTTTTGCATGTCAGAAATACATGATGATTTAGCTAAATGCTGTTCCAGTTGCCGCAGAGAAAACATTTTGCCCAGTTCCCAGATACCTGTTTCCTAGCACGTTCCAATTTATTCCACTGCAGAGAGTAGGAAAACACCAGCAAAGCTTCTCAAGTAATATCTTCTCATAAGAGAAATAGTGAATAGAAAACAGATGAATATATACCCAGGAAAGATCCTTTAAGAAAGGAAAAGAACAACGAGTACTTACGTTTACAAAGTCACCTCCCTGTATCATGAAATCCTTAATGACTCTAAAGTAATAAAAAAAAAAAAGTTACTTTTTTCTGAAAAAACTTCTTGAGAAGCTTAATGTCAGTGAAAAATAGAGATATTCCCCACAATGCATCAATATATAATTCCCACTGTTTAAGCTAAAATGAATTGCGGCCCTTGGCCGTTAGATCTGGTGATGTACTCAAAGGGAACTGAACCCTGATCTCCAGAGAGGCAGAGAAAGGAGTAGGTACTGCCTGTATATTGGGTCAAAGGCACCTAGAAGGCTGTGGTTTCTCTCAGTAAGTACAACAGAAGGGCTAGCAAGAACTGCAGCGGACAGTCACCCACGACAGAGGTTACAGAAGGAAAACATAAATGCAGAGCTACTATTTTTTGACGTGTACAGCATGCCTCTGAGGCTAGGTCTACACTAGCTGGGGGTCGACCTAAGATACGCAACTTCAGCTACGCGAATAGCGTAACTGAAGTCGGCGTATCTTAGGTTGACTTACCTGGCTGTGAAGACGGTGGCGAGTCGACTGCTGCCGCTCCCCGTTGACTCCGCTTCCGCCTCTTGCCGCGGTGGAGTTCCGGAGTTGACGGCAGAGCAATCGGGGATCGATTTTATCGCGTCTACACTAGACACGATAAATCGATCCTGACAGATCAATCACTACCCCCGATAAATCGATCCAGCGGGTAGTGTAGACGTACCCTTAGTTTAAAGAAGTCCTTAAAAAGAGGGCTTTTTTTTTTTTTTTTTTAAATGGGGATATACCTATCTCATAGAACTGGAAGAGACCCTGAAAGGTCATCGAGTCCAGCCCCCTGCCTTCACTAGCAGGAACAAGTACTGATTTTGCCCCAGATCCCTTAGTGGCCCCCTCAAGGATTGAACTCACAACCCTGGGTTTAGCAGGCCAGTGCTCAAACCACTGAGCTATCCCTCCCCCTAAATGCCTCCAGAATGCCTGTAGTTCACCAAGCTGTTTTAAGCATTAGAAGGAAAAGTACTTACCTGTGGAAAGTGCTCCCTTTGTAACCTATTGGGACACCATCTTTCCTACAAGAAAAAGAAAGGGCATTGGGAGTCACTGCACCTCACAACACGAAACCCCCCCAGGAGTCTTTAGTCCCAAGAGCTCCAATCTGAGGAGATCAATTCCTATGTGCTGCCCTGACATGTTTCCCTCTTACACTGCTTGGGAGGGCAGCTCGTTTGGCAATATTGCAGTTTGTAGCCAATTCAGTCTGACAAACAGCAAAAATATTTTTGATGTCAACTGAGTGTTTTCCAAGAGTCTTCATTTTGCATTCATGCAGGTAACAAGACCATCATTGGCAGGAGGTTAAGAACAAGTACATCTTTTTCCTACTTTCTGTCCATAACTCTCCCTGCTTGTGTGAACTTACTGCTTAAGAGGAGGCAGAAATTGATCCTACATACCTGAATTCACCTGTACAAAATTGCCTGAAAAGAAAAAACAACAAATACAGCAGTGAGTGAGTCACTTTGAAAAGTTATTTGAAAATCAAGGACACAAATTATTATCCACTGAATATTTCACAGAAGAGGACTAGCAGGGATGTCCATTATTAGAAGGAATAAATGACACTGTCTCTAGAAGCAGGTGCCATCAAGAGCTGTTAGTAACTTTCAGCTCCCCAGGTTTGTTTCTGTAGCTGGGAGAGGGATAGGACCAGACGGATACTGGGGCTTCTAAGAGGCAGGAGAAGTGGAACTGGGCAGCACTTTGTGGAGGTCTGTGATGGACGAGCATACACTTGCTCATCTTGAGGGACTGGGCTGTCTGGTGTGCAAGACACCCTTCAGCCAGAGGTAAGCAAGAAGGGGGCCAAGTTAGTAAGTTGCCAGCTCTCTTGTGTGCTGAGGTGCTATGGGAGGAAGGGGCAAACATGAACAGAGTGGGCTGCTGGGTTTCTGAGTCATGCACACATCTCCCAAGCAGGTTGACTCACTCCTCTTTTCTGAGCATGTGGGAGTAGCTGCTTGGGCCAGGCACTCCTTCCTTAGGAACTAGTAAAAGTCTAGCCAGTCTGAATGTACAGCTGAGTTTTGCTCACTCTGTGGACTGAATCTCACAAGGAGATAGCATAAAATTTGGTGCCTGGGTGGTCATGGAGAGATATAACAGTAAGGCCACCACACCTGCTAGGCTATTTCCAATATGGAGACTTGATGTGGGGGATAAGAGTCTTAACCCTGCCCCTTACCATTAGAGGACCAGTTAAAAGTAAAAGTTCAGAGGAAATTATTAATGTCTGAGGAGAAGAGTTTAGACAAACCCGTGACCATTCCCACCCTCCCCAGAATGTGACTCAATGGAAGCAGTGGTGGGCAGGAAAACACGGATGCTCAGTAGGATTTCCTAGAGGTGAAAAAAAATGGCCGGGGTAACATTGGTCTGGCTTCTGGCAGCCTAGCAAGCAGGTACTATTAGTCCAGAAGGTGCATCCTGTGCTCCAGATTCTAAGATTTAGTTTAATTTAAACCTCTAGTCTTGAATATTATAAAGACATCTTAAAACATGACCTCAGTGTAACTGATGCAGTGATGTCTGGCTGGATCTGCAGAGAGCCTGAAACTAAGGGCTGGTCTATACTTAGCCGCTAGTTCAGCGGCTGGAAATCGAACTTCCTGGTTCGATTTATCGCGTCTGGTCTGGACGCGATAAATCGAACCAGGAAGTGCTCGCCGTCGACTGCGGTACTCCATCTCAACGAGAGGAGTACCGTGGAGTCGATGGGGGAGCCTGCCTGCCCCGTGTGGACCGCGTCTGAACCGCAGTAAGTTCGAAGTAAGGTATGTCAACTTCAGCTACGTTATTCACGTAGCTGAAGTCGCGTACCTTACTTTGACTTGAGGGGTTAGTGTAGACCAGGCCTAAGCTTTGAGAAATGTGAACTACCCCTCTCATCTGAATGGGATGTTGGCTCTGAAATCCAGTTTAATTGTCAACACGGTTAATGATTTCCTTGCTGATGAAAGCAGATGTTAAAGAGGGCTGATCGCATGTGCAATCTGCTGCATGTGGCAGCTCACGCGTGTGCAGAAACTCAGTGCACAACCACCCCTAAAATCTCTTCCCAGTCAGACACCATGCAGCGCAGGGCTGCCCCACTACAGGGAGGGATCAGGTATGGGGCTGTCCTACCATGAGTTGCTGCGTGACCGACCCCCAGGCATTGGGCTGCCTCAGTGGGAGCAAAGTGTCACAGGCTACCTGAAATTCTCCGCCGTTTTGGGCACAACGTCAGCGAACAGCTCCACCTTCATGCGGCCGATCTCCTGGCGGGACAGAGAGTATCAGCGCCGGGCCCGCCCGCCGAAGGGCTACGACCCCACCTCTTCCCCCGGCCCGAGCCCCCGCATCCCCCCGCCTCTTCCCCCGGCCCGAGCCCCCGCATCTTCCCCCGGCCCGAGCCCCCACGCCGCAACCCCCAGCCCGAACCCCCGCACCCCCCCGCCTCTTCCCCCGGCCCGAGCCCCCGCACCCCCCCGCCTCTTCCCCCGGCCCGGGCCCCCGCTCCCCCCTCCGCAATCCCCGGCCCAAGCCCCGCACCCCGCCCGCCTCTTGCCCCCGCCGAGCCCCGCTCTCTCCCCGGCCCCTCCCGCGGACCCGGGCGCCGCAGTGGCCCAGCCCCCACCTGGCCGCCGACGCTGACATCGAAGAAGACCACGGGGTTGTTGGGGTTGGCTGCCAGCACCGCCATGGCGACCCGCCCTCACCCGGAACCGGAACCCGGCCACCGGCCTCCTCCGGCAGCATGGCGGGCCTGCCTCAGACACGCGCGTGCGCAGCAACACGTGCTCCGCTCTAGGGCGGGAGGGGCCGCGCAGTGCGAAGAGCTGTAGGAATTTGCTAGGTCGGAGGCACTGCGCATGCGCAGTAACATCTGCTGAAGCCGCTGCCCTTTGGCAGAAGGTTCTGCCGTCTGCTTTCCACACGGGGGTGGCCAGGGTCCGAGCAGTGGGCGGGAATAGCCGGGGGCGTCAAGCCGCTGGAGGCGGGGTTAGGATGGGGCTGAAGGGCAGCATCAGGGCTGGGGGGAGGAGCCGGGGTTAAGCCCAGGGGTGAGGCGGTGGCAGAGGGGGGAACAGTTACCTCAGGGGGGCTGAGACATCAGTGTTTGCAAAAAGGGGGGGGCGGCAGAGGGGCTTTTTATTCCCCCCCCGCCAGACAGCAACTCTCAGCATGGACTTCCCTGGGCTATGTTCTCCCACTGCCTAGTCAATGCTGCTCCTCCTTGTCTGATGGAACCTACTGAGGTGCTGCAGGAGACTTAATTCAGAATCTCTTATCAGTGTATCTGACTCAGGGCCGGCCCACAACATTTTGGCCCCTGAGGCCAGGAGCTCAAATGACGCCCCCAGACCCCCTCGCTTGGGCCAAAACTTTGAAAGGTCTCAATTCTGCCTTCTTCCTGTTCTACTCCTTTCATGGTACGGCTCTGCTACCTACCCCAATAAAGGAGAACTAACAACTTACAATGCCTTGTTCAAAAATTTTCAGTAACATTTTACTTTCAAACATCTGAACAGCAAATGTAACTTTTTTTGTCTGCATAGTAAACACTGGCATTTTAATCTCTTTGAATAATCAAAGTGGTGCTTTCCGGGCCTTCTTGGTTGCAAAGATCTGAACCGCTTCCTGAAGGTCCACAGTCTGGGCCAGCTCTATTGAGATGGTTGCAAGGCCAACCAGCCTCTCCTGTATCATTGTGGAGCGCAGATGTGGTTTTATTAACTTCAGCTTGGAGAAGCTGCGTTCTCCACTGGCAGCTGTTACAGGAAGTGTTAGAAGTATGCACAGAGCAACAAAAGCATTTGGAAAGAGGGTAGACATCTTATTTGTGCACATATATTCCAGAACAGCCTTTGGAGTTGATCCTGCTGAAATGTATCTTGAAAAGGCTTTCAGTTCATCACCTAAGTCACTCGCATCAATATTGCGCATGTCATCATGTGTCAACACTGTCTCTAGTGCCCTGCACTGCTGGTGTAGGTCTTCTTCAGGTACAGTGAGGAGTTTTGGAATATCATACAACATCCCAAATATACTGCTGTGTTCCTTGAGCTGCATGAAATGTTCTTCAACTGACTGTATTGCACAATCTAGCACCTGGTTAGAGAATTCAACTTTGAATTGTTGTTTGGGGTCTCTTATGAGATTATCCCGGGCCTCATAATCAAAATGTCATCTTCTTCGGTGACTCTTGTATTCTTGAATGGGTGGGAAAATAGCTTCAGTGTGAAGTTCCTCTGCCAACTTCTGTGCACTCTTCAGAACGTTTTGAAATCCCTTATCTGAGCGGTAAAACTGTAGGTATGACTTTGCTTTGTCCAGTTGTTCCATTGCTCCAGATACATCAAGGTCAACACCTTGGAGTCTCTTGCTTACAACATTTATTTCAAACAGTATGTCATGCCACAACACTAAGCCACACAGAAATTTGAAGTTATGTATGTTTCTGGTGATTCCATTTCCCTCTGCCACTGTTCTCCCACAAACAGTTCCTGTCATAGCATTATCCTCCATAATGGCAACTATGGCATCATCTATCTTCCCAATTTGGTGTTTGATAGGCTTTATCACCTCCATTCGACTTTCCCTTCGTGTGGCACTCAGTGGTTTCAGTGTCAGAGAGGATGTTCCCAGATGTTGCTTCAAAATTTACCATCGATGAGTTGATGCAGAGAAAAACACATAGATGCTTTGAATTACATTAAAAAATTAAGCAGCCTCACTAGAAGCTGATGCTGCATCACTGACCACCAAGTTCAATGAATGAGAACTGCATGGGACAAAAAAAGCTCGAGGGTTTAACTCTCGGATCCGTGTCTGCACTCCTCTGTTCTTTCCTCTCATGTTGGCACCATTATCGTAGCTCTGACCTCTCATGTCAGCTATTGCAATTCCTGTATCTTCCAGCTTTTTAAGAAGCACATTTGTCATACCAGCTCCTGTAGTATCATCAATGTCAATACATTCTAGAAAATGCTCTCTGACAGTCACCATTGCAGGGACATTTTCACCAGGTTCTGTTGTTGTTACAAAATGCACCATTAAAGTAATTTGTTCCGTATGGCTGATGTCAGGTGTGCAGTCCAGAATAACAGAGTAATATCTTGCTGACTTCAGATCTGCCACAATCTTCTGTTTGACTTTTGTTGCCAGTAACTGTATGATCTCATTTTGAATTGTTTTTCCAAGGTAGTTGTGTGTGTACATTTCTTGGGTGGTGACTCTGCTTAGATGCTCCTGGAGTACAGCATCAAACTCAGCCATCAGCGCCACAATTTTAAGGACGTTTCCATTCTTTGGCACATACAGCTGATCTGAAGTGCCACGCAGTGCTAGGTTTTGGGTAGCAAGCATTCTCACAATGGCAATGAGCCTTTGCAATCTTCTCTTGATGCTGATCATCTGTGGTGGCCTTTAACCTTAGTCTCATCTCAAGCTCTTTCCACCTATGGAATGCTCTCTGGTGATTTGCTGCCTTCTCACGGCATGCCAGATTTCTAGCCAGATTTTTCCAGTCCTTTGTTTCTGTAGAACCCAATGTGGCTGGAACATTAGACTGGAAGAGTTTGCAACAAAAACAGTATGCAGCATTCTGGATTTTTGAGTACATAAGCCATGGCCTCTCTACTTTGTCATCATTGGGGATTTCACGCCAATGTGTTGGATAGAAACTTCTATTTTCATTGTCTTTGGGGAACATGAAGTTTTTCACTTGCTGTGGCCCGTGCAGTACAAGGAAGTCCCTCAGGCTACTGCTCAAGTGGGTCCACAGTCCTGGATCATCTAGACTTAAGGAACTAAACTCAGCAGCAGCTGTTTCTTGCGCCTCCACCACACTCTTCTCTGATCTACACTTTTCTTCAGGAATGTGCAGGGTTCCATCCATCTGAGATGGAGATATGAATGCTGCAGTAACTGCCAGGTCACCTGCACTCTGACTAACTGGAAGACCAGGCATCTCCTCACCACTCACATCCTCACTGGGGCCGGAAGGCTCACCATGAACATTTGTGTCTATGTACATATGTGTCTCAGGAGAGCTCCTGCCTGCTTGGATAGAAAAGCTTCTTTTGCTTTCTTTCTTTTTCTGAATGCTGCCCCAGAGGGGCGTTTTCTTCTTTCACTCATGACTGCTGTTCTGTGCCAGCCACCAAATGAAATTAATAGGCAGCAGGTTTAAAACAAATAAAAGGAAGTTCTTCTTCACACAGCACACAGTCAACTTGTGGAACTCCTTACCTGAGGAGGTTGTGAAGGCTAGGACTATAACAGCGTTTAAAAGAGAACTGGATAAATTCATGGAGGTTATGTCCATTAATGGCTATTAGCCATGATGGGTAAGGAATGGTGTCCCTAGACTCTGTTTGTCAGAGAGTGGAGATGGATGGCAGGAGAGAGATCATTTGATCATTACCTGTTAGGTTCACTCCCTCTGGGGCACCTGGCATTGGCCACTGTTGGTAGACAGGATACTGGGCTAGATGGACCTTTGGTCTGACCCAGTACAGCCGTTCTTATGTTCTTATGTTCTAGAGTGGCTCTCAACACTCAATTGAAGGGGACAAATAAGCAGGCTGGTAGCAGGGCCTGAGTGAGGGAAGATATCAGCATCTTAAGGGCCTAACTGGCTCCTACTGCTTCGGTTGACTGCCTGTTCTCCTCAAGTGGGTTCAGGGAAGCAGCAGGAAACAAGAAGCTCCCTGAGAAGCTGGTGTGAATCAGCTCCTGGGGGTGCTAGAGAGGTCATAAGAGGCTCCTCCTCCTCTCTCTCCCTGCAGCTCCTGCTGCTTTCTGTTCTTCCCTCTCATCTCTTCTCCTGCCTGCCTGTTATGTCTCTTGTGCCCTCCTTCCTCCAGCACAGCACTCCACCATCTCTGTGCATCTAGAACAGGGAGAATACATATGCACCAGCAGCAGACACAATTGTCTACACTCTGGGTCCTAGTGTCGCCTTCTTCCCCCCCCCACACACACACAGTTTGGCACCCGAAGCAGCCGCCTCAGTTCGCCTCATGGTAAGGCCAGCCCTGATCTGACTGCATAAAGTTTCATAGCAGTTCACAAATTTGTCTTTGCTGCTGCTGGGATTCCCTGAATTACTCTTAGCACTTCATCATTTAGCTTTGATATTGTGCAGATGCATGTCATTGTGGTATTTAATTTATATTTTAACAACAAATACTCTTTGAAAACATGTATAAGTAAGTACTCGCTAGTAGTTTTAGCAATGACATCTGTGTTTCTAGTATTGTTTTTTACTGTGATTTCCAATTTTGCAGATGACACTAAACTGGGAGGCGTGGTAGATACACTGGAGGGTAGGGATCGGATACAGAGGGACCTAGACAAATTAGAGGATTGGGCCAAAAAAAACCTGATGAGGTTCAACAAAGACAAGTGCAGAGTCCTGCACTTAGGACGGAAGAATCCCATTCACTGTTACAGACTAGGGACCGAGTGGCTAGGTAGCAGTTCTGCAGAAAAGGATCTAGGGGTCACAGTGGACGAGAAGCTGGATATGAGTCAACAGTGTGCTCTTGTTGCCAAGAAGGCTAACGGCATTTTGGGCTGTATAAGTAGGGGCATTGCCAGCAGATCGAGGAACGTGATCGTTCCCCTTTATTCGACATTGGTGAGGCCTCATCTGGAGTACTGTGTCCAGTTTTGGGCCCCACACTACAAGAAGGATGTGGAAAAATTGGAAAGAGTCCAGTGGAGGGCAACAAAAATGATTAGGGGGCTGGAGCACATGACTTATGAGGAGAGGCTGAGGGAACTGGGATTGTTTAGTCTCCAGAAGAGAAGAATGAGGGGGGATTTGATAGCTGCTTTCAGCTACGTGAAGGGGGGTTCCATAGAGGATGGAGCTCGGCTGTTCTCAGTGGTGGCAGATGACAGAACAAGGAGTAATGGTCTCAAGTTGCAGTGGGGGAGGTCTAGGTTGGATATTAGGAAACACTATTTCACTAGGAGGGTGGTGAAGCACTGGAATGCGTTACCTAGGGAGGTGGTGGAGTCTCCTTTCTTGGAGGTTTTTAAGGCCTGGCTTGACAAAGCCCTGGCTGGGATGATTTAGTTGGGAATTGGTCCTACTTTGAGCAGGGGATTGGACTAGATGACCTCCTGAGGTCCCTTCCAACCCTGATATTCTATGATTCTATTATTCTAATTTGGAATTTTTAATTTAACTTTTTCTTATTATTTTTAGAGCAGAAGTTTATTCTGTTGGATCATCTGACTTCCAATCTGACTGAATTTCTGACCTGGTCTCAGAACTTTGTTTTCATTCAGTCCACTAATGGTGATTGCCTTTTGTGACTGTTATTTTGCCTCTCAATCCAGCCCTTAGAGTTTTTCCGCATGCCATTGCTTGTGTGTAGAACTTGATTCTCAAATATTCAATAAAGGCAGTATACTATCTCATGGGACATCCTTCTCAAAGGCAAAAATCTACTGTAATTTTTGCTAAACATTAGAACTGCTGTAGTGGGTCAGACTAATAGTTCATCTAGTCCAGTATCCTATCTTCTGACAGCAGCCAGTGCCAGGTGCTTCAGAGGGAATGAACAGAACAGGCCATCACGGAGTGAACCATCCCTTCATCCACTCCCAGCCAGGACTGGCTCTAGGCACCAGCAAACCAAGCATGTGCTTGGGGCGGCACAATTCCAGGGGCAGCACTTGCGCTGTTGGAGGTTGTGTTTTTTTTTGCTTGGGGCGGCAAAACCCCTAGAGCCAGCCCTGTTCCCAGCATCTGGCATTCAGAGGTTTAGGGACACTCACAGCATGGGGATGCATCCCTGATTCTCACCTATCCTGAGGAACTGATCCTCTCCACCAGGAGCACTGGGGAGTAAGGGTTGCCCTCACCAGTACAGCATACACACCACACAGTACATGGCTCCTCTGGGGTGCTCAGTATAGCTGGCAGGGCCTCCTGCCCCTACCTGTTTGCCATCAGGGTATTTAGGCAGCAGCAACATTATGGCTTCCACATGCATGGGAGTGTTTGGGGGAGGGAAAGGACTTCTTGGCCCTCTTCTCACCTCCACCACCACTAATACCGCTGTGTGATGGCAGCCATATTTTGACCCTGTAATAGATTAGGAACTGCTTCTACCAAGAAATATTTCAGGTGAGCATAGATAGCCCTCAGTAAGGGAAATAGGAAATCCAAAATACTTCCTCTCCTTTCTACCCAACCCCCAGAGAATAACATATACCTGCATGGAGACAAACCCATCTGGCTCATCTTTACCCGACAGACTTCAAAATCTCTTTCTGAATAAGCCCTTTCATCTCCAATGAGATATTACCCCAGGAACTGGCTGGAATCTATGCTCCCTTTGATCCAAAACCTCTCTCAGTCAAGGCAATAGGACAAGTGCATTGCTGCCTGTGCCTGCCTGCTGAGTTGATGAACTGTAATGGTCAGAGATCGCACCAACATAGAAGTATATAGAAGGCAAACCCTAGGAAAATTAAGAGTTTAAATTATCCTCCACACGTCCTGCGTCCCACTGAAGTGAATCCAACCCACAGGTCACTTGGGCAGAAATGTCCATGTCAGGATGGCACAGTAAATGAAGCTGCAAAATAAATGATGTTTAAATGAACTCACTCTATTTTTTACAATCCTCTATTAAGAAATAATTGATACATATGTACTCCAGGCAGGGTCATTTGGAAGCCGAACACTTTATGTTTCCATCCCACACCACTGTCAAGTTTTAGCAAATTAGGACAAGTCAGCAAATAAGAACAACCTCAGGTATCAGTAACTGCTACTGGTAACAATTCGCTGCTATTGGTAGCAAATTACATTAGAAGCAGTTTTCTACAATCCCTTACATATGAGTAACTGCTACAGGTAGGAAATTCCGGTGCAGAAACAGGCTTGCCCGAGTGGGTGGGAAAAGTGCCTACCCAGTCTCGTCTCCCCCCCCCCCAGTGCAGGCCAGGCCAGGCAGGCTTGTTCAGAGGGCAGGATCGGGGCCCCAGTCCCGCTGTGACTACAGGGTGCAGTACTGGGTTTACAGTGACGCCAGGCCCACATGGAAGGGGCCATGTGACTACTTGGGGCCCACAAAGGGTTAGTCCAGCCCTGGCCACAGCTCGGCAATGTGAAGTCAGCAACTTTTCCAGCGCGCAGGCGCAGCAGGGACTGGGTGTTGCAAGGTATGCTGGGAGTTACAGTTTGCACGCCGCTGTGTTCTGCTGGGGCCTTGGGACCTGCGCTGCCAGCTGCACTACTAGTCCCAGCATGCCCCGCGCCACGCTGTGAGCCGCCCCAGCTGAAGCGGGCAGATCAAAAAACAAAAAAACCCAACCCCCCAGCAAGGAAATGGCACAGGGAGAGAGCCCCCCACCCCCATGGCTCACCCCACCCCCGAGTCTGTCCCGCTCTCCTGGGGCGGTGGGAAGCCGGGAACGGCCGTGGTGCTCTGATCCCCACGTGCAGCCCCCGCCCGGCCATGGGCTCCTGGCACCGTCTGGACCCTGCAGCTTTGCACCGGGGGGTGGTTGTCTGTGGCCCCCGGGGGGTGGGAGCGGTGACAGCCAGGCTGGCTGCCTGCCCCCTGCCAGTGGCAATGCCCAGCAACTGGCCCCGCACTCCGGGGAGGGGAGAGCGCGGCTTGGGGGGATGGGGCAGTTGTGGAGTGAGTCCGGGTTCGACGGGGGAGCTGGCGGTGATTCCGTGGGGGAGGGGGATAGGAGAACCGGGGTGTAGAGGGGCGGGGGCAGAGGGAGGGGATACTTCTGGTTAAAGTTGGGGGTTGGTTCAGGGGGGTGCAGTAGGAGGGAGGAAGGTGACAGCCCTAGGGTGAAAGTGGGGGGAGTGGTAGCAGGGACATTGAGAAGAGCCCTTGTGTGAAGGTCGGGGTTAGTTGTGTGTGGGGGGGGGAGGGGGGAGAGCCCAGGTGTGAAGGTTGGTATAGAGGCTTGAGGCTGGATTGTGGTAGCCTTTGTGATAAAGTGTGTGTGTGTCTCTCAGTGGCCTTTTCTCCCAGCAAAAGATGGGCACCAGCAGTTTTCCTCCCCGCATTCCACCCCAGTAACTTAAGTTTTGTAAACATTATTGTACCAAAGTAGAAAAATCCAGCTTTCAAAATTGTATTTATGAAACATAACTGTGGGTGGAGGGGAGATGCAGGTGCAACTCCACTGAGTGGGACATCGGGGCTTAATATGGCTCATAAATGTGCTAGTTAAGCACTTGTGTTCAGGGCCAGAAGCAGGCCCTGAGTGTTTTAACAAAAAAGACAAAACTAACAAAGAACCCCCTCCCACACAAGTAAACCAAATTCAAGTATCCTGGGTATATTGATGTTAGCCCAATTTGTTCTCTATAGGCTGAGTGGAGGTCTCAATCAAGTATGGCTTCAAATATCTTATTTTGTTTATGAATAAATGTTTTCATCCCCATCCCAGCAGTACCAGGTTTACTATGGCGTCGTCGCGCTGGGCCCACACTCGGAAGGGGTCCATAACTACATGAGGGCCAGGGCCGGCTCCAGGCACCAGGTAAGGAAGCAGGTGCTTGGGGTGGCCAATACAAAGGGGCAGCAGTCCGTCCGGTATCGGGGCGGCACATCCAGATCTTTGGTGGCAATTTGGCGGCGGGTCCCTCATTCCCTCTCTTCCTCTTTGAGCTGCTGCCGAAGAGGAAGAGAGGGGGACCCGCCGCCAAACTGCCACCGAAGAAGCGGTATGATTGAGGTGCCGCCGAAGTGCCACTGCTTGTCTTTTTTTTTTTTTTTTCCCCCGCTTGGGGCAGCAGAAAAGCTGGAGCCGGCCCTGATGAGGGCTCACAAATATGTTTGGCGTCAGGCCCACAAAAGTTTAATCTGGCCCTGGCATCGCGGACCCGTGCAGAGGCAGGATCAGGGCCCTGGCCTGTGAACGTGTCAACTCCTTGTGTGATCTAGAGACCAAATGACAAACACCCCTTTTAAAAAAAACCTTTTAATGAATTAAATCTGTGAATGTAAAAATTTCAGGGCGATCTGGTATGAGATGCTAGAGCTGGGCAAGTGATTGACACAACAGCTGTCAAATAACAGCTGAGAAAAATCACAAAATTCATTGAACGAGTTATTGGATACATACTGATCTGGCTGGACGCATGGCCCACTGCAGCAGGAAGCCAACAGCCACAGTCCAATCAGAGAGCAGCTCCTTGGAGTCCCTCTTAGACGCTATCGCAGCCGAAGCTTGGACTCTGGGGCTGCGTTGGGAAGTTTGTGGTGTCTCCAGGTGAAGCCACATTTAAGTAACCAATCTCAGAAGGCTGAGAAGGTGATAAGGAAAACAGGGACTTTGGGGTCTCGGTTCCTTCTTCAGGCTTGACATCTTGGATGGCTCTCAGAATGCCAAGGGAGTTTGGCAGCCCTGTTGCTGAGAAGCTGAAAAAGAATTTCCATCACTAATTCACTTTGCCAACATCTGCTTACGGCAGTCACCTGGCCTCCAGTACTGTAGTATCTAAGTGCCTCACAATCCTTAACATATTTGTCCTCACACACCCTGTGGACATGGCAGTGCTATTATCTCCCAATTACAGCTCGGGGAGAGGCTGAGAGACATCACACAGGAAGTCTGTGGCACAGCAGGGACTTGAACCCAAATCCTAGGCTAGTGCCCTACTGACCGGACTATCCTTCCTTTCTCTACACCTCCCCTCCTTCCCAACAGGTGCTCTTGCCAGTAAGGCCAGGCTTTAAAGGAACAGGGCAATTTGTGTCACAAACAGGTGGTTTTTAATTTAAAAATAAAAGTTTTGGAGCTGTTTTTGGAAAACTTAATTTGGGAGAGAAGTCAGTAAAATGTGGTTAAACTTGTGTTCAGAAATGTCCATTGCTGTTGCATATTTGCAGTGCAGTGCTGATAAGATTTGTCAAGTTGCTTTACTCTTACACTGTCTTGCACAGAACATGTTTGCTAATGTTTATGGCAAAACCCCTCCGTAACCTAAGTCAACGTGCGGCTGCCCTGCGACCCCCAGCCCTGCTAAACAGCAGAAGCAAAACTTTCTCTTCCCACTCAGTCCCATAGCATCTTGATCAACATGGGCTGGGCACCAAGTTCTGGGTCCTGCCACACCTCACTCAATCCTCATGCCTCTCCAAATCACCTACGGTCCCCCATAACCCACTGCCCCCCAGCTCAACTGGAGGCAAGCCCCAAGCCGCCCAGCTCTCTAGATGGCTGCTCCCCATAACTGGGATAGACTCCTATTTCCCTCGCTCCCTTGGCTCCTCCTAACCCACAGTGCCTCCAAGGCTCCCCCCATAAGTACACCCCTACAAGCTCCTGTGACCCAATGGCTCCCACCATGGTTATTCCAACCCCTCTATCCCCTAACTGCTCCCAACCTAAACCCTAGAGACTCCATTTTCCTCCGAGGAGCCCCCAGACTCCACAGAGCATGCAAAAACTGCCGAACTCCTGGCTCTCCCATGGCATCCCAGCACTCTGTACCCCTTCCCCGGAAACCAATAGCTCTTTATTATTATTAATTACATGTATTGCAGTAGCACCTTGAGGCCCCAACCAGGGAGCAAGGCCCATTGTGATAGGTCCTTTACACACATAATGGAAAGCCCCAAAAGGCTTACAATCAAAGTAAAGGAGGCAGCAGCTAGCAGAGGATGGTTTAGCCACACTTCTAACCCCCCTAAAATTCAATTCCTCCTTAAACACCCTTCTTCACATGGCCCCTGCTCTCCCTTAGCCCTGGGAGTCTTTGAAGGAGGGCTATAGCCAGAACCCAATTTCAAATTTTGGGCAGGCCAATGGCCCATGATCCTCCAGGTTAGGTACCAAGATCTTCAGGAGAAGGTCATTGCCCTTCCCATACCCACAGGGGCATGGCCTGTTATGTAGACTGAGCTGGCAAAGCACTGGCCCTATCTTTTATAACAAGGGCCTGGGGGAAGCCCTTCCCCAATGGGCAGGGTTTCTCTGTGTGTATGAGTAGCCCCACCAAACAGGGTGAGAGTGGGGCTTCCCCTTAGCATGGGAGACACCCTGCCCATTGTAGGAGGGGCTTCCAAAGACCCAGAGACCATAAGACCCTTTGCAAGGGTTTCTTAGTCCCTCTGTCTCCTAAGGCACGGGCAGAGGGCTTTTTTTGAAGTTTCATTGCAAACAGTTTTGCAAATTATCAAGTCCCTTGAAGAAGAGTTGTGAGAATGGGACTAATGGTTATTATGATCTACTGACAGGACAGAGAGGCTTATAGAATTGTGGGGAAAGGCCTAAAATCTTCTAATGAAGAAGAACCCAAGCATGCAAAGAGTTTGCTGAAATCTGTTCTGAAAACTCTGTTTTGTGGCTGTCTTTCAGACTGTTTAGGAAATGACGCTTAGCACTACAGGAGAAGGTTCACTCCCATGTATGGTTATGGAGACATTAAGCCCAAGATCATGAAAAAGAACCCTACGTTTTAGCACCACCTGTGGGACACGAGAGTAACAGTGAAATGTTTTCACCCCTCAGCTCAACAGAATCCAGTGACATACATTTGCACCATGTACTCCTGAGCTTGGCAAAGAAAACTATAGCAATTGAGGAATGTTAACAATCAGTATTACACTTAGTGATTTAAATGTGAGCTTAGGTGGCACAGACCAGCTGTCTTCTGGTTTCATTCAAATTATTTTATCTCTTCAAAAGAATGGTGCATGCAGGGGCCAAGGGATAAAGATTTTGAAACTCCATTGTGTACATAACTGGCAGTGCATCTTTAGTCTTCTATGATTATGTTATTACTTAAACTACCACCCATAAATCATGAGGATCTGGAAAATGTATTTCTGGAATTTTTCTTCTCTGTACCATGTGCTTTTATATAATCATTTTCCCCACAGCATGACTAAAACACATCTCCAAATAAAAGAAAGGGTGGAGCATGTGTTTGGAAAACAAGAATTCACAGCTTCACTCTCCCCAGACACTTGGCGGGAGGGCTAGCTCAGTGGTTTGAGCATTGGCTTGCTAAACCCAGGGTTGTGAGTTCAATCCTTGAGGGGGCCATTTAGGGATCTGGGGCAAAAATCTGTCTGGGGATTGGTCCTGCTTTGAGCAGGGGGTTGGACTAGATACCTCCTGAGGTCACTTCCAACCCTGATATTCTATGATAAGTCTCACTATTAGTAAACAGACACACCGCCTGCATGTCTTTACTTATAATACCTTATGTTTGGACGTGGCAACATCTTACTTAGCAGCTGGCATTCAGAGAAGCCAATGCTCCTGAAGTCCTAGAAAGAGAACCAGAAAAATAAACAACAAATCCAAGGTAGGAAGGATGCTCTAGGCAATCAATGCTTGCAAGTGTGTCATTCACAAACTAGAGAGAAAAAGAAGGTTTTAATATAACATTTATAGAGAGAACAAATGGAATCACAGACACAGAGAATTCCAAAGAGATGAAACACCTCAAGGGAACATATGTTTTGCATGTGTCGGTGGCATGTGAGGGATGTTATTTATATGATGGGTTTTATTTCTAATAACAGTTCAATGCAAGGGCATGAGCATAACTCCCAGAGGATGAAAAAAAACATATGCAAATAATTCAGGAAAAGTTATTTCCATTGAATGGATCTGCTCCAGTAAAGGTAGCCATTTGCAGTTGAAAATCCTAACAAATTATATTATATATTCTTCTTTCATAAGCACATGGGGCCCGGGGGAGCAGACTTACTATTATAAACACATCTGTTATTCTCCCTGTTAGCCACTGTACCACACACTGGAACCAGCATTTTCAAATGTGGTTGCCTAGACTCAGGTCTGCTCCACACTCCAAAGTTATGGTGGCAGAGCTATGTCTGCTAGGAATGTGAAAAACAATCACACCCCATCCTGACGTAGCTATGGTGGCAAAACCTCCAATGGAGGCACTGCTACGCCAACATCTGTCAACCTGGCTAACCGTCTGGGGAGGTGGTGTAGCTATGTTGGCAGAAGAACTCCTGTGTCAGCCTGTGCTGCATCTACACTTGGAGGCTATGCTGGTACAGGCTCTGTAGTGTAGACATGGCTTCAGATATATTTAGGCCCTTAGGCTGTGATTTTCAAAGGTCTCTAAGGGAGTTAGACACTCAATTCCTATTTAATTTAAACTGTGAAAATCCCAGTCAAATAAATGGCTTGATTCTCAGAGGTCCTGAGCCCATGCAATGGGAAATGGGAGTGCTCAGCACCATTGCAAATCAGGACACCTCTTCAGGTGCCAAAGTAGGGATTTGGGCTCCCATGTTTGACATTTTGGGGTCATTTGTGTAAAATATCTAAAATTACCCACTTTTAAAAAAGTTTTCCTGGTTCCCGACCTTACACGTCATTGGGATATTTTTAATGACTGAAAAACAAAAAAGAACAAAGGTAAGAAAGAGTGACGCCTTTGTCACAATGACAAGTGGCCCTAATAACACAACAGATGAGGGCACTGGCTGGCTCAGCAGACTGGAAATGAGCCACAAAGCCTTGCACATCTAGGCCACTGGCTCCAGTTCAGCTAATCAAGAGTGACATTACCAGCCAATCCGTGGGGGGGGCGTCATTTATGAAATGAGTTGGTGGGGCTCAGTCCAATGCCTAGGGGACTGGGCACTAATAATACACCTCCCCTTCTGGCAGTTTTAACTGTGGGTACTACTCACTTTTGAAAGGCTGGTCCTGTACGGACATATATACCAAACATTCCTGTGGTGTCTAGAGGAGGTTAAAGCTGAGGTACATTGGTAGGGACTAGGGTGAAATTCCTCAGATGTGCCCATTTTACAGAGAAAGGCAGCACGTCTCACCTCTAAGCTGTGGGTCTGGATGTTCCTCAGAGTACGTTCCAGAACACCAACCTGACTGGAAAGCTGCAGGGTGCTTTCCTGGAGCCGCTTGTTTTCTTCATCCAGGAACTGCACTCTGAGGAGGTCACAGAGAAAGAGCACAGTTTATTTTCTGCACATGAATCTTCACCCTAACCATTTTCTGTGTTCAAAGGGGCATTTCCTCTCAACCTCTCTGCTGAGAAACTCAAACAACCCTTTAAACCCTTCAAACATATTGCCCCTGCAGTTCTACACCGAGTCATGTTCCATGCAGCGCCAGGGCCATTTCAAAGCAGCTATTCCCGTGAAGTGGCCTGCCTACATCCTTTAGGCATGAGGAGCAGCTACCCTAGTTTTACTCCATGCACAGAAGGAGGATTTCATCGGCGTGACGCTGGCACAGAACTGGAGAACGCAGTTTGGCGGAAAGGGCTAACTTTGAACTCTGGCCCAGGAGTGCTCTCGGTAACAGCATTGATGGCTACCTGTTCTGGATTGTGGAAATGATCCATTTGTTGTTCCGTCCAACTTCTTCCTGTTCATTAAGCTGCTGTAAGAGTTCTCTTTTCTCTTGGAGCAAATTCTCATTCTCCGTGGTGATCTGTCTGATCAATGCATGTTCCTGTGGTTAAGAAAACAGCATGAAACAATAGCTTTGATATAGCATCCACAGATCTCGAAGTGCTGTATAAAGGAGGTCACCATCCAGGGTCTGATTATAAAATACGTATTGTCTTTGATGTTATGTGGCCTGGAAAGGGTCTTGTAGTCACACTCTTCCAATGGCATTTCAGATGGACAGGTGGAAAGAATGTTTGACACCATCAGAAGCAGACGTGAGACAATCCCACTCATTTCCCAGTCACAGAGTTCTCCCCAAGGCACCTGTGTTTTTGCAGAAAAGAGCAAATTAATTCAGAAAACCTCAGTCTCAATAAGTAACATTGGGTATTCCAGGAACTTCTACTGTGGCCAGGCAACAGTGAGCTACTGGGCAGCACCAGTGATAGTAAAATCACCACTGCCCTCCCCTGGCAGGCCCACCACAAGGGAAGGTTCTCTGCACTTGGGCAGTTTGGGGTTGTTAAATATTGGGGAATTGCATTCCCTTAAAATAAAGGATTTCTAATACACAAAATACATCAATTAATGTGACCGGCCAAACCCGTTCCTGGTGCAAGTGCAGCGTGCTCAGTGGAGGCAGGTACGCCAGAAACTAGGGTGACCCTGTATGTTAGAGAATTTGGAAATGGAACCTCCTCTGAGGTATGTTTCCTAAGGTGGGTGGGTGCCTCAGGCTAACTGAAGGCACAAGAGGCACCCCGGAGGAGCGGGTGGGAGGGGGAAGAGAAAGCTGCTCCATCTACATCTGTCCCACCTCACTAAACCAATCCTTAGAAATCACTCACCCCTGCTCCTGCAGCAGCCCCGCATGTGCTCAGCTGTGCAGGGGGCTGCAAGCTTTGGCTGCAGCTCTGCTCTTGCGACACTCTGCTCAACTGAAAGAGCGCACGCAGCCCTGCCCTACTGAGCCCTCTCAAGCGGCACTTGGCCTGCTGGGGCAATGGGCAACAGGGAAGGATTCTAAAGCACAAAGAAAGAATAAAGGGAGAACAGAGACAGAAAAGATGGAGAAAAACAGTGGAAAGAAAGCGAGATGATGGCAACTGCATTAAGGTATGGCATGACATGGTGGGGGTCACCAACCTGCCAAGCCACTGACTGTGGGCTCCTCCAAAACCAGACAGGGAACCACTGATCTGTGGTACCCAGGAAGTCTCTGTCTCCTTGGAACCTAACCACTGAGAGATACTCGTCTCTCTCTTACACAAGCGTGGCTCGATTAGCCTGATTTTCACCTCCCCGACTTTATCCACACTGAACTGATCTGTCTGACATTTCATGTTGGATTGGATGGCAGCGTAGGGCTTTTCTGGAAAGTCTGAGGCAAATGCAGCAGCAAAGGGCTTGGGAGGTTGCAGCAGGGCTTAATTTGTGCCAGGGCTGAG